TGTAAATAAGATTAATCCGTTTTAAATCAGAAAAAATGTGAAGCAAAGGACAACAACAAAGATTGTGGCCATCACCCCGCCGCAACCCCAAGCAGAAGCACAAGCACAAGTGCGGCCATCTCCCCGTCCCCCCACAAGCACGACCGAGATCGCGCCTGTCCTCCCTGCATGCACCCATCATCCTGGCACGCGTCCATCATCCCAACGTACTGGGGGGTGGGGGGGAGAGACAGGAGTGATCACAGGAGCAATGGGGAGGAAGAGACGGGTGCAAACAGTGAGCTGGGGGAGGAAGAGATGGGCACGATCTCAGCCATCTCCCCCCCCCACCCCCAACATGATCACAGCCATCTTCCCACTCAGGGGTGAGGTGGGGAAGTGGCCGTGATCATGCTGGTTGTGGGGGGGAGGGGGAATGGCTGAAATTGCACCTGTTTTTCCTGCAGGAGCGCACCTCTGATCACGCACGCCTTCCCTGCACGAACGGAACTTTGATCGTGGCCATCTCCCCACTGTGGGGTGGGGGGAGAGGGCTGTGATCTTGGTCGCCACCCAAAGCAGAGTTCATGACCCAAGTCAAAATTTTTCAGAAATTTTTGTTTGTGACCCTATTTGTTCATGAGCCAAGGCGTTCGTGAGCTGAGGTACCACTATACTGAAAATATGCTATTCTACGCTTTGAAAAAATGACCAGTTCTTTTAAAACAACTCTTTAACACTTTTTATTGTTTTTTCTGTTCTCTCTGTGTGTATAATGTAATGGTTAGGAATCATTAAGGTGTGAATTAGGAATACCCCAGCATCAGCCTGAGAAGCCACTGTCTCTCACTTAGCAATCTAGCATGGGAATGGTATGCTATTGAAGGATTTGCACACTGTAATCAATGAAATACATAAATGTGATCTATTTTAACAAGTTTTTGGCATATCCTATGCCTGTTTACACAGAAAACCTAACATGCTGGCTGCAGGATGCCAGAAGTTATAGGACCTTTTTCCATCTGACTACGCATAAGGTTCCACTCTTACATGATTTCAGACAAAGTAAGTTTTAAATAGAATAAGCATATCAGGTGTGGCTTTCAGGCTTGTGCTAAGTAAGAAAATGGACTGTATTACTTTCTTTGGTTGCAAAGGAGGTAGAAGTTTAAGATGCAATACTATGCATGGTTAGACAGAAAAAAAATTCTTCAGGCCCATACTGGCTGGAGCATGTTGAGAGTTCTAGGACTTTTCTTTCCAAGTTATATAAGATCACACTTTTCAAAACTGTTTTGTGTATTGGGAGGTAGGGGAATGTTGTACTTAGCTCCAGAATTTTAACCAACAGGCATCCATAAGCCTTTATCTTCCTTTGGGAAAACAGGGCAGGAGGGGTGCCAAGCTTGAAGTTGTCCTGAAACCTGCAATACTGCTTTTAGCAGATATCACAAAGAGTTTGTGTGTATATGTGTGTGGGGGTGTGCATTCATATATGTTGCATGAAGAGACTTTAAAAGAAATCATCTCATTACTCAGAAATCATTATTTCTTTCTTCAGGTACTCTAAATTGACTGAACTGTAAAGAGATCAGTATGTGCAAAAAAGGAAATAAGGTTTTAGAGGTATCTAAGAAAGGCAGCTCCTTCATGGATCACTGCCTTGTCGTGGCGAAGGGGCTTGTGCAGCTCAATGAAGCTATGAGATATGCCGTGCAGGGCCACCTAAGACGGACAGGCCATAGCAGAGAGCTCTGACAAAACGTGATCCACTGGAGAAAGAAATGGCAACCCACTCCAGTATCTTTGCCATGAAAACCCCATGGACAGTACCAAAAGGCAAAAAGATATGACGCTGGAAGATAAGCCCCTCAGGTCAAAAGGTGTCCAATTTGCTACTGGGGAAGAGCGGAGGGCTAGTACTAGTAGCGCCAGAAAGAATGAAGTGACTGGGTCAAACCTGAAAGGACACTCAGTTGCAGATGTACCTGGTGGTGAAAGGAGAGTCCGATGCTGCAAAGATCTATACTCCATA